AGTGTTTAAAGCGTTACCTATGGAAAATTTGGGGTATTGTTGTTTTTTGGCTTTCACGGGTGCACACAATTGTAAGGCTTTATCTATTTGCTCGAGTTGACCCCCATCTTTTATATTTTATAAACAAATTGGGTATTATATTCTGTTTCTGTGCACTAAATTTAATTTTAGTGCATTTTATCCTAAAAATACTGGTTTGATAAACATTTGCACAAATACCGTGCAACATAAATTGCAGCTAGCATCTTTTTTTCTTGTACAGGGCCTCTGCTTTCAGAGAATATATCATTGTTGGGGGGTTTGAAGCTGTTTTCTATGGGACGATTGGCCTCTTATTCTTTAACACCTTTGTGCAGGGGGGTCTCCCCATTTCTGTTCCCCTGTGACTCCCTCGGATCTGAATCTAGTTCTCACTGATCTTCAGAAACTGCTGGTTTGACTTTCATCTCCCTACTTGCAACAATAAGAAGGCTTTTCCTGTAGCCATCACATCTGCAAGGAGAGTATACTTCTTCTGTACTGAATACTTTATGCTGTTGCATAGGAAAGTAGTATTGAGGCCCAGCACTTCCTCCTTTCATTTCAAGATCTCTAGGTGGCTTAGGCAGACTATCATCCAAGTTTATAGTCTCGAGGATCAGGTTCCACCCTCCCCCATCAAAGTAGATCTTTGGGTGCCTCCTAGGCTTTTTGGCATCAAGAAACTGCCTCTCAGATTTCACAAGTTCTACCTGGTTGACATTTTGGCCTCATCTGGTGCCAGCTTTGGGCTCAAAGTCCTTCAGGTGACTTTTTAAACTGAAGAAAGTTGTTTTTTGTGGTTTTCTTGGACCTGTTGGCTATTGTTTGCTGTGTTGCCCATTCCTCAGTTAAACTGCTTTTGGATGTCCCAAATATTAAAGGCATCGTGTCCCTCCAACGGAAGAGAGAAAATATATTTTTTAACTTTTTGTATGGTAAAATTTAGGAATGTCACGATACCGATGCAGGGCATTTTCACGAGTACTTGTACTCGTGAAAATGCCCCGATACTGAAGCCTGATACTGGCCTTTTTAAATCTGATCGGCTGCCTCAGGTCCTGCGCAGGTCCGGGGACCTGACAGTAGCGGTCTTTGACACTGCCTGCCAGGTCCCACATGCCCTTCTCCTCCTTCCTTGCGCAGGCAATGGTTGAGGCAGCCCCACACCGTGAATACAGCCTTGGAGCGGGTACGAGACAGGCACTCGCTCCGTTCGGCACTCGCTCCGCACAGCACCTGTCAGCCATGGAGACCCCCAATATGCAGCCCTGCTGACATTTGTATGCAGCTCTGGAGAGACGCAATATGCAACACTGGTGAAATCTATATGCAGCGCTGCAGAGACGCAACAAGCAAGCCTGGTGGGATCTGGACTACATATGTTTGTCACCAGGCTGTGTCCAGATTCTGAACGCAGTCTGGTGAGAAACTGCCCCAAAATCATTAGTCTGTATTGTTTTAGAAATGTCCCTTTAAGAAAAGTATTGGTAATTGGTATCTGCAAGTAATTGGGGGCAAGTACTTGGTCTTGAAAAAGTGGTATCGGGACGTCCCTAGTAAAATTATTTTTTTATTTAATTGAGTAACCCAGGTTTCACCCCTCTGTGTTTTGACAATTCTCTCCCTACTGCTTTGCTGCAAAACTGAGGCATGTTGGTAGTAAGGGTTATCTTGGGCTTGCCTACAATTTGTGTCTGCTGGTATCCAGTCCTCCTGTAGGCAGCAGTATAAACCAAAAGGTAAAGGATTTCCTGTGTCCCTCAATGGACTCCAGGAAAAGGATGCAACGGTGAGGACAAATCGCATTTACCGTATATACTCGAGTATAAGCCGAGATTTTCAGACCATTTTTTTGGGTGAAAAGTGCCCCCCTCATGAGATGCAGTGGAGAATGCGTACAAAATTTGAGTTTGGGCTTTAGAGGAGAGTGTGTAGTGCAGTAATCTCTACTTGTAATTATGCCTTCAGAGTTCTTGGCATTTAAGTGCACTTGTTCTTCAAGGCATTTAAATGTCATAAAAGTGTTACAAAATAAATATGCATCTCCTTTTTTGTTCACTTTAGTTCGCCTCATGTTTTTATTGTCGTTAATTACAGTGCTTCACAGTATAAAACAAGGCTATGCACAGATTAATTTGTAGATTACCACTTTAAAGTCTGATTACGAGAAGCACATATATCAAACTCAAGTGCATTTTAATTCTCAATTAAGTGGACATTGTCGTATTAACTTAATTAAAAGAAAAAAGAAAAGGCAGTCATACGATCAGAAGTCTGCTCCAGCAACTGAAGACGCAGAATATAGTGCATCATGGGCCAATCAGAATTAATTTTTCAATGACTTGATTGTAGGACATTGAAACTTCATAGATTTCTGCAGTTAGTACATCACTATTACTCTTTTCTGTGTAGAACATCACTTTTGAAGAGAATTTTAAAGTTAATGTAAAATAACAAAACCAGCTGTTGCTGCAATATTTACAGCCAGAAACCAGAGGTTTCTCCTGCAGTACTTTGCCACTAGATGTCCTCAGTCTGATGACCAGCATCATTCAACACACCCAGTTCCTGGACTTGCCCCAGCTTGTGACTGGACAGTGAAAGGGGAAGCCACACCAACCCATTCCTTTCTATGCTGCAGAATACTTGAAATAGTTTCAGTCCTGATTAGGGTTGCAACCAACTAATCCATAATCGATGATGAGAATAGTTGTCAACTATTTTCATTATGGATTAGTTGGTTGGATCCCCTAGCTCTCTCCTCCATGCTGGGAGGAGGGCACAACAAGCAGTGGGTGGGTGCAATAGCCAGCCTGCTATTGGCTATTGCAATTTTAAATGGCCAATAGCAGGCTGGCTATTGTACCAGCCCACTAGCTGTATGTACATTCAGCTGCCATCGGCCGAATCTTGCCACTGGCCCTGATGTCATTCCCTGGCTGAAGCTATTCAAGCCCCATGTGCTGACAATACAATTATTTAAAAAAAAATTATAAAAAAAAAAAAAGATAGGAGGGAAAGTAATTTTCGTCTTTGACCTGACAAATTCTGCGGGAGGTGCGTTGCAGTGCCATTCATGCCAATGGCACCCCACCCACAGTGTGATCGGCCTCACTGGAACACACGGTACCACAATGCTGTGCAATTGCAAAAATTTGTGCTTGCAGTTTTATTCTGAAGTAAACTTTGTAACACTGCATTTGTGTATTTTATTTTAAATAAAAAATGGTATTTTTTTTAATCTGATAGAAAAAATAATCGGCCAGCTTATAGATTATGAAAATAATCATTGTTTTCAGCCCTAGTCCTAAAAGTCATATTTGCATTGTGCACTCTGTGACATCATGGAGCTGTGCATCAGCCAGAGACTCTCCTTCTGGAAAATGTATGACGGTGGATTAAGTATTTTAGGTGTATGCTGCAGGCAAAGAATATGGAAAAATGGATTGCATTAGAAAGCAATGTGCACACTTCCGGGAGCACTCAAATGCGGGCAGAATTACAGATGGATAATTGAAGTATGGACCTAGCTTGGCGATCTCCCTAAAGCATTGCTATCCTTTTATTTCTATTCCATACAGCAGCTGTAAACTTTCAAATCATTTTTTGTTATAAAGTTTACCTGAGGCTTCACTGTTTCTTTTTGTTTTTGTTTTTTACATAGGGTACAACTCGATTCAGTAGACTTAAAAACTAATGGTATAATAAAAAAATGATGTCTGTCACTTTGCTCTTCTGTAAGTTTTAAACTACTATAAAGCATTAAGGAATATAATGATAAAATTGGAAATATACAGCTATCTGTGTGGACAGTAGGTATAGTGGCTAATGTCCTATGTGATTTCATGAGCAAGCCTCTTTAGAGTGTTTTCTAGGGGTTACTGACGAGATGTTGGTTAGTAAAGAAGCTCACAACGATGGCTAAATAAACGACTCTCCATTGGCTTGATGGAATTGGATTACGTTTCTGGTGGCTCTTCCCTATTCTGTAGATGGGGAAAACGCATTGCATCGAACAGGGAAAGCTGAAATCAAACTTTTTATTGCATACCTGTTTTTCAAAGGGTCTTCTGGTCAGTCTGGTGACTTTAATAGGTCCTTCCTCTTTTTCAGAGGTGACTGCTGCGGGAGGAGCCTTCTGCACTGAATAGCGCTCACATAATCATGTGTGAGTACGCTTAAATGAGAACTATGAGGGGAGTGAAAATCAGTCATCCTCTTCGAGCCGACGTGTGACAATTTCATTGTCACACGTCGGCTCAATAGATCCGGAAGTGAGCGAACACATACCGTCTCTCGCTCACTTCTCGATCATCTCCCTGCAGAGAGCGGTGACTGTCACTCACCGCTCCCTGCAGGGATCCCCCTCTGAAGGAACGGGATGGGGCGGGGACAGCTGGCTCTGACTCCAGATAGGCAGAGCCTGCTGTCATTCAAGCAGCTGGGTGGATCTCGACAGTGTTGTCGGGATCTGTCCCGGCTGCATCGGTCTCAGTATACTGCGAGCTGTAGCTTGCGATTTATACTCGCAAGCTTTGGGTCACGGCAGGAAGCTAGTGTATGTCTTCCCCTGACGCTTAAGAGAACTAATGGGGAAAAACACTTACCCCATAGTTCTCTTTTTAATACCGTAATAACTCTGAGCCTCCCCCCCAGGGGGTTGGTCCATGACAGCCTGGGCTTAGAGAAAGTGGATTAAATGAGTCACTAAACCCGGAAGACTGGCGGTGGAAAGGCCTTTCTTCCGGGCACAGCACTGGACTTAAGGTCAGTATTGCCACAAAGCTGCATTTTGTGTCTATTTTTACTTTTGCTGGAGAAACTAGAGTTTCACGTTGCATTTTAAGTCCTCAGTGTGTATTGTATAGTTGTGAGCAAATCGGTAATGGTTGCATTTTGCCATTTCTTTTTTTTTTCTTCAGTATTAAGGAATGGTTATTATAAAGAACTTAATTCTTATTGCTTGCGTTTCTTCCCAGCTATACGGATTAAAGAGGAGGAGCCAGATCCGGAGGAATGGCAGCTTACCGGGGATTCTACAGTTAACACCAATGATTTAACCCATCTGAGAGTACAAGTTGTTGATGATGAACTTGACCAATCAAATCAAGAGGGGAAAAGGCTAAGAAGAGTAGCATGTACTTGTCCTAACTGCAAAGATGGAGCTGGAAGGTTTGTACTCTCCATATCTATGGTTTGCTCTCACTAGTGAGGTTTAATGCTGATGTGATTTTTTTTTTTTTCATGCCAACTAAACACTTTTTATATATTAGAACTAATTGTGTAAAATGTATTCACTTTTTTTTTTTACCTCGCTTTCTAACTTTTTCTATCCGACGTGGACTCGTCAAAATTTTTAAAAAGCCGACAACCGCTGACCTCTCCGCATCCGGCGAACTGGCTCTGCAGGATGACCTGTTTGACAGAAGCCAGCAAAAAGTAAACAATGGGTGGTGCTAATGGTGACATCACGGCTTCCGCCTATTTGTTTTGATTTGGGCAGCATCTGTCATATAGGTCTTCTGAGGTCCCAGCCAAATCAAAACAAATGGGTGCAGCCGGCCTGCCCATTTGTCATCGGACGACAGGCTACTGTCCTTAAATGATCGGAGGACAGTAGCCTGTCATTGCATGATAGCAAATGGGTGGAGCTAGCGGTGATGTCACCGCTAGCTTCGCCTATTTACATTTGCAGGGAGGACAGTCCACGTCAGCTGTGTTCAGCTCAGTTGAGCCGAAGCATATGCATTCGGCTGCTGTACGGCCTATTATGAATAGCTTGTACAGCAGCAGCCGCCTAACTGAGCCGAAGAATTAGCCGAAGCTTTGGCTCCTTTGTGAAAAACATTCTATATATTCCAGCACTGACTTCAGATCAGTGGACAGTGTTTTGCTTTTGCTGGCAACTTGGCCATAAAGTATAATGCGTGTATGGTTCTCTTTCATAGTGAATAGAGGAAAACCACTGATGGACTTTATACAATACCTAGTGTTGTAGAGTACCATATGTTTAGTAAAGCACGGCCTAGCTCTCGGTAAAAGTGACATTACGGCTTTGGCTGCAGCTTGCAGAAATGAGTTGATTGCCTGATCCAACATCTGGGATGGGGCATATAAAATTTATGAGGGAGTGGGGCAGATTGTGGATTCCTTTTCATATGCAGGTTTAGTTATTAGAATATTGTTTACATTTAATCTCAGTGTCAGTTTCTTGTAGATTACGTCAGGGTATCCTGAACTACAGTAGGGGGACAAATGAGACGGCATCAACACCCAACTGTTTGCTATTGGGTTAGAGTGTCCCTGTGTTCTGGGATACATTTAAGCTTTATTCATTTGTCCACAGGTTTACTTTAAAAAAAAAAAAATACAAATTCCGTTTAAAATTAAAGCCAAACATTTTAAGACACACGGAAGTAATTTTTCACTCCAGAAAATTGTCCAAAGGATTTTTTATTTTTTTCCACCACATTATTCTTGTGGAACGTAAATTACACCATTAAAAAGCTGGTTATTACAACGGTAGAGATTTAATCCGTAGTTAAAGCAGAAATTTCCCCCCAAACATATAAATCCCTTGTGCATGCAGCTCTGCATACTGATCCCTAAATATCTGCATGTCCTAATAAAAGATTTATGACCTTCGTTCTTATTAACCCACTTCCTTGTTTTGAATGGGCTCTGGTGACGTAGCCAGGACCTTAGAGCTGCGATACGGGAAAGTGGATTGCACTGATTTTCCATAACGATCTTTATTTTACAAAACTTTTATTTTAGGGGCACCAATCTTGGAAAGAAAAAACAACACATCTGTCACATCCCAGGATGCGCTAAAGTGTATGGCAAGACCTCACACCTACGAGCTCACCTTCGTTGGCATTCGGGAGAGCGTCCTTTTGTCTGTACCTGGATGTTTTGTGGCAAAAGGTTTACCCGAAGTGATGAGCTGCAACGACATAGAAGAACACATACTGGTAAAGAGTGTTTTGGATTTTTTTTTTTTTAAATAAACATTCTATGATTTGTGTAAAAATATCAGTGGCAAAATTATTTGATTTGTAATGCCAGAACAATTTTGTGTATGTGTGTGTATATACATGGAGCAGTGTACACCCTATACTTATTTTAAAGGAATAATTCAGGAAGTTAAATTAGAGATTAGTTTTAACTTGATATAGGGGTTACATGTTCAAAATATAAAATGTTGAATAGTTCAAGAGGGAGGAGTTTTTTTTTTTTTCTCAAATAAAACACTTGCCTTGAAAATACAAGAAATAAAGAATACATTTGGGTTTTGGACTTCTACATGATGGCTGCCACATCCCACACCATCTACCCCTTTGCCCCACTGACCTACAGGCTGTACTGGGAAGGAGGTTGTGTCCTCAGAGGGAGGAGGAAGCGGGTGCAGAGTCCAGAAATCTTAGGCGCTGCCTCTGCTCCTCTCGGCAGGTCTCTGAAGAAGTAGGAGAGTGGGGTAGTGGCAAAGTTTGAGAGGCAAAGGTGTGCTGGCTCTCAGGAAAGTTCAGTATCTGGGGATTGGGGGTTCAATGTCGGGTTCTGGGAGGCAGGGAGGTTCAGAATCAAGGAGATCTCAGCTGCTATAGGTTTGGCATCTTTGCAAATATGTTTTATAGCAGTTTAGTAGGTTGGAGACTTTTACTCTTTAACCCCTTCATGACTGAGGCCTTTTTCCCATTTTTTGCACCCATGTTATATTCCACATTTTAGGCCTGCAAATTACTTAAAACCCCCAAACATATAATTTCTGAATGACAAGACCCTATAGAATAAAATGGTGGTAGTTGCAAATTTTTATGTAGCGCAATATTAGCGCAACTCCTTATTGAACCCCCAAATTTAGTGACAAATTTAATTAAATGACCCAGAACACAATAAAATACCAATTTTTTAATGAATATAAAAGATGAGGTTACAACGAGTAAAACGATACCCAACATGCCCAGTTTACAAAAAGTCCATAGACGCTTTAAAAGCCCACACAGGTCATCAATTTAGAGATACCCCAAAATACTGGCCCTAGAATGATTGCTCTCACTCCGGCGTGCGCGGCGATACCCAACATGTGTAGCGCGTTCGTCGTTTTCATACGTAGGCGCACCCGACGCGTGTTTACGTGGTGACGCGCGGGGGATTTAAACATTTTTTTTCTTAGATTTATTTTAATTTAAAATGTGTTTTTTTACTTTACTTTGACTGCTATCACATGGGGGGGCTTACAATCCCCCCCATGTGATATCAGATGGTGGTGACAGGTACTCTTTAAGGTGATGCTGGGGGTCCAAAAGACCCCCAGTGTCACCTTTACACTGGAAATAAGCTATTGAAGTGCGATCTGCACTTCAATAGCTTATAGCTGGGCTGCAGGAGCCCAGAACTGACAGCCCAGGGACCGGAAGTGATGCAATCTGCATCGCTCCCGGTCCCATAGAACGGGGAGGGGATCGATGAAAGGAAGTTCATCGACCTGCTCCCCGCGGACACCAAGGGCGCCGTGCCCCTATGGGGCAACGGAGCCCGGGAAGCACGGCGGGGGGGGGGGGGCGGCCCCTTCGGGACACAGAAGCGATCTGGCGACAGGTAAGTCGCCAGAATCGCTTCTGTTGTAAAGCCGACAGTCGGCTTTACAAGTGTAAACAGAGTTTAAACAGCTCCGATGCTGGCGACGTACAATGTACGTCGTCGGTCACGAAGGGGTTAAAAGAATTGCTATGCAGTATAACAAAAACAAAACGCATAATAAAGGATAAGGAAACTTCAGTATTTTCTGAACACTTCCTCACCCTTTCCCTCTGTGCTGATCTATCCCTCCCTTCCCCTCTTCTGCTGTCACTGTCTACTGGCCTTCTGCCACAATGTTTACCCTGAGGCCATTGCATCTTCTACTTCATGTGCAGTAGAACTATATGGGGCTAGGAGACTGATCTGTCTATGGGTTGGTATGCATAGGAAGTGGGACCTTTGCCCAGCATTTAGTGACCTGCACACAGCAGCAATCATCTCCCGCCACAGGAAGTTTCCTGTTACTGAGGACTTATTTGTGACTTTCTTCAGTGTATTAAGTGACATGCTGCAGCCACAAATAAGTTACAGGAGTGATCGAAGACTTCCTGTGCTGGCAGATGATTGCTGGTATGTGCAAGGATCGCTAGAGGTTAGAGGAGATCAGCACTGCAACTAAACGGCAGGTCTGCTCTGGGGTTTATGTGGGTAGGGGTTTACCCAAAACGGCACCAAAACCTGGCACATTCACAGGGTGGTAGTAGTAGTAGTAGGTGGGTAATAACTAGGGATGCACCGATACCACTTTTTTAAGGCCGAATACTTTTTTTCAAGTACTCACCGATAACAATTACCGATACTTTTTCTTAAAGGGACAGGTCACATTTTTTCTAAAGCAATACAAAATCATGATTTTAGGTCAGTTTCTTAATATGAAGAACATGAACACTCTGTAGTGTGGCACAGCTGTATCCAATTATGCATACCTGGCTTTATATTATAAAGCAATACTCGGGATCGCCGCCAATACCGATGCTTGTATCGGTATCGGTGCATCCCTAGTAATAACATTGCATCGCTGCTACACATGCATGGTACTTTTAAATGTTGACCAGCACTAACCACAACAGCCTTTTCCAGCAGGGAAGCACATCCAGAGTTGTCCCTGCAGCAGGTAAGTGTGTTGCAATAGGAAATTACCAAATTCCTAGCCTCTTCAGCTCACGGCCACCTCCCTAACACCCAGCTTAACGGCACTGTAATCTCAGGCCTGGAAGCTCACACCACCAGCACCTCCACATGACATCTGCTGCTGGCAGGGAGAACTACATCTGAAGTTACAGCTGACAGCTCCTCACAGTAATACTACACAGAAGTACTACCCCATCACCACCACTGCTCTCACCACTGTGCCCGATGCCCATTCTGTCTCCCTGCTCTCACCACCACTCCCACATTCCCCCACCTAATGTGCCACTGACTCATGCCACAGCACTCTCCTCCGCTGTGCCAAAGCACACTTCTGTACTCTCCCCCACTGCAGTGATGTGCTCCTCTCTTTTCAGCCTGTTCAATGAACATCCACACTTTTACTAGTTTTACTATAAATGATAAAAGTTCAGTGACCACCTAGATACACAAGGATGTGATTAGAGGTTGGTCCTGATATCTATAATGTCTTTGAAGACTACAGTGTACCTCATAATATACCAGTTCTGACTAAAATTAATCTTTCTTTTGCCCATGTAGGACAAAGTAAAAGGGTCACCTAACTTTCAACTATCCCCGTCCTGTGGGAGCAAAGTAAAATGCCAGATACCTCCGGGTATAGGGCAGCATGTTACTCGCCTCCCTTTTCCCATGTGATAGCGTGGTCACATGGGGCCAGGGAAGTAGTGCCTAGTCCTATGTAAGCTCTCATAGGCAAGTTTGGGGCTTACACAAGATCCCCCCCCCCCCCCCTTCCCAGTCCTGGTGGTGGGAGCAGCACAGGAGTGAGGAATGTTGAGTGTATGTTGTTTAGGAAATCAAGTCTTTTCTTTTTGCCCTGCATGTGTAAGGGCAAGGGTCACTTTAAACTTATGAATGGTAGGCACAAACACACACACAGAAGTTTACCAACACGGATAGCCATAGACACCTGCATGGCACAGCAAACCAGTTTACAGATTTTGATGCTTATGCACATAGATTTGATATTTGTAATTTTGTTTAAAGCAAGATCTTTAGCAAGACATTAAAGAACTACCAAGGATTTTTTTTATTAACCCTTGCTGTGGGGCTACCCCCTCATTGCAAAGAAGTGCTCGTTTGTGTCTAGGTTAAACAAAGTTATGCTCGAGCAACGCTCCAAGCCCCGGCTTCTTCTTAGACCGGTCCTTCATGTCTCTCCCCCCTCTGGAGCCGTCTAAGGTCCCATAAATCATCACATCTATACACTGTGCATAGATGTGAAGACACCGAGTAAGATTCCAATGGGCAGAGGAGGTGATAGGCTGGAGGGAGAGCTTTGACGGCAGGCTCGGAGCTTTGGGTGAGTAGATCTTTATTTTTGTCCATAGACACAAACGAGCACTTAACCCTTGCAGTGTGGAGGTAGCCCCACTGCAAAGGTTATTCAAAAATATTTCACGTAGATCATCTTTAAGGGTTCCTGGTTGAAAAGTATAAAATCGGTGATGCCTTGGAACTTTCTGCTGCTGCTGCTCGGTTGGTAGGGCAGTACAGTTCTCTGAAACGTTTTAATGCTTTTAAAGTGTCTGTGTGCATCCAGTTAATAGAAGTGTAAAAAGATTTTCTGGTCACAGGTTTGTGTTTTATCTTTGTAAATTGTGAAAATGCATTCTACGGCTCTAGCTTTAATACATTGATACGTCAAATAAAGCAATACAATGTTTTCAATCCAACAGGTGAAAAGAAGTTTGTGTGTCCAGAGTGTTCCAAACGATTTATGCGAAGCGATCACCTTGCCAAACACATTAAAACCCATCAGAATAAGAAAGGCATGCATGCCAGCAGCGCCGTACTGGCATCCATAGAAGCAAAGCCAGAGGAAACATTGATAACTGCCGAAGGTACAACCCTTATCCTTGCAAACATTCAGCAGGGAACTGTATCCGGCCTAGGGACTGTAAATGCCAGCAACCAAGATCTCCTTTCCAATTCCGAGATTCCCTTACAGCTCGTCACAGTTTCTGGAAATGAGACAATTGAGTAAAATATCATACGACGCCTATTAATTGTGGTTATTTTTATACAGTAGTGGAAGAAAAAGCAAATCCTTGTTCTTGAGTTCTTAGATATCTTTTTATTGATGTGCAAACTTTTTTGGATTGACAGTAACTTGGTTATACATGACACTGAAATGCCTTACTTTGTATGCTATTCCATACGTATGATCAAATGGTAAAATTGCATGGCTTTTGTAGGTACTTTTGGAACTCTAGACCTGATGAAATTTTACCATGATACATACAAGTATAAATAACATTGACAGATGGAAATGGTAGTCTAACCAAATGCATCAGTCCTGTGTGGTTTAGTGTAAAAAAAAAAAAAAAAAACTAAGAACATGTTGGTATTTATCTATTGTAAGATAACAAAGTTGATGGGTCACAAAGAAATTATGTTATGACATTTTGTAATTTTCTTGATGACTGGAATTTTTATTATGCATAACTGACAAATCACATCGAGCAGCACTCATAACCCGGCTCCCTTTTTCGCCATTCCTCCGCTTACAAGATAACAACCAATTTTGTTTTAATTCGGTGATCCTGTGTACACATTTTAAGCAATTCTCTTGTAAAGAACTATAAGAAAAATAAATTCTACAAGGTTTTAACCTGACAGCAGCCACTGTCGAGACTGTGTTTAATTAAAAGCCATGCACATAAAATGTATTTGCCAAATTCTTCTTAATGTTTGAGTCATGAAGGCAATATAACCAATGTTGAAAAAAAACTTTGTAGGTTGAAGCTTTTTTTTTTTTTTTTTCCAATGGTTTAAATGCAATTTAAAAAAAAAAAAGCACCCACTTCTCTTGAACACTGGTGGACCAAAAATTAGTGAATAGTTTGTCATTGAGCACATCTTTCGATCTCCGACATCAAACCCATCATTGTAAATGAAGTAGGCTAGCATATGCAAACATGATTTCAGTCAGCCATTTCCATAGTGAAACAAGGCATATAAATCCTAGTCATGGGGAAACAGGAAATTATACAAGGGTGTTTTTTTTTTCTTTTTTTTTCTTTTTAACTTAGTTGGTGAATCAGCATTTAAACAACCTATTTGCTTCTACCCATTAAAATTGTATGTATCGAATACATGTACCTGATGATAAATATGTATATGTTTTTTTTTTTTATGTTGCTGTATTTTTGTTTTTATTTTTTAACAATTGTTTATATTTTCAACTATAGAACATGTACAAATACAAAGTGAAATTGCAGGTATGTAAGGTCTATACCATTTTTCTAAGACGTAGTGAAATAAATGAATAGAGACTGCAGCACCTACAACAGTTCACCTATTTACAGGCTTTTGTTTGAGTCTCTTTCTTATTGTTATGACACCTCAAGCTTAAAAGCTACCTTTAAAGTGTATGTTTAAAGTGTATTATAACAGTGTGGTAGTTTAATAAAACACTATTTTCTTTCTTTCGACTTTGTTGTTTTCATATTCGTAACTTGGATAGTCAGTCTGCCAGTCATAAATTAATTCAGCGGCCGTTTTTATTTTTTGAGCAGATTTTTTTGTTGCGTATTTCACAAAAGTGAATTGCCTTTAAATCACTGAATGTATGCATTATATTTATGAGCAAAGTGATTCAGATTTAGGATATTTTATATCCGCACTTTTCCCCCATTTAGCACAGGGGAATAGTGGTGGTGTTCAGAGTTTTATTTTCATTATGTAAGTTATAGAGAAAAAGAACACCGAACACAATGCCAGTGGAATGTTTTTATTTGTTCAGTTGTGTTTGTTTACATTTGAAAAGTAAAGGAAGATTTATTGACATGTGACAACTGGTGAAGTACATCATTAGGGTTCCAGATTTGATCGGCTGTATCGTTTCCATTCTAGCCCTTGAAATTTAATGTATTATTGTTCCACTGCATGAATATCAGCTTGTACAGGGCTTTGTAAGTCAGGCTCAAAGTAGGTTGTTATACATTGTCAAAACATTTTTTGTTTCTCATTATGGCATAACTAAAAAAATTATTGTGGGTATGTACATATACTATGTTAAAATTTGTCCAGAGGAAAAATCAGAATTTTTTTTTTTTTTTTTTTTCTATTTTTTTTAAAGTTTGTATTATTGGAAGAATGAGACCGTGGTCTGTAAATTTTTTGTTGTAGTTGTGTTTTGCTTCTAAAGATATATATCTATATACACCCCTACCACCCGACCGTCACCAGTTATCGGAACACTTTGCAATCAGATATCCTCACCAAATTGAACTGTATCACAACTGTATATGATGTGAAACACTGTGTCTTGTACACAGAATCAGGCATTTTTTTTTTGTTTTTTTTTTCCCTTTTATTCCATGTGTTTAATTTTTGTTTTGTTTTTTGGCTTAAAATTATACTCCATTAATTTGCTACCATGATATAGGTTAAAATTTGTCTTTGTTTAAACATAATGCATTTTTATACCTGCTCCTATGTGTTTCGTTATGGTATATTTCTGTAATATGCATGTAGGTGGAATTTTGCTGCATAGGTAGATTTTAAGAAAAAAATAAAGTAAAATATCTTTAAATCTGTAAATGTTTTACTTTTCAATTTTGAGTTTTCTTTTTTTTTTTTTTATTGTGGCTTTTGATTGGTTGCTTTAGCTGTTATTGTTTTCCTGGAAATAAAAGGCTGCTAGAACCTATTTTAAAGCAATCATCCCCAGGTAAAAAGCATTTCATCGAAAAGGTCCCTGTAACAGATTAGTTGTACATACCTGTCCTGCCACCCATGTCTCCAATCTTTGTTTTCTTGAAGAGCTAGGGCTGCTAAGAAATTGCGCTTCCAGAAATGTCCGCTTTCTGGTTCCACCTGCAAGCCAGCTATGTCACTGCTCTGTAGCAGCTTCTGTGTGGAACTGCAGTACACAGAGGGGGTCAAGGCATCCAACCCAGAAGTGTGCCTGATTCTAAAGCAGGGGTGGGGGGAACCTCCAGCTGTGGTGAAACTACAAATCCCATAATGCATCTGTCTCAGTCATGGCTGTGAGAATCTTGCAATGCTTTGTGGGATTTGTAGTTTCACCACAGCTGGAGGTTGCCCACCCGGGAGTATTCATCTTGTGCAGAGAGCCCTTTTGCTTTTTAATGTGGAGCTAGAGTTACTTTACCAATATTTGGTTTTACCTAAATGCTTTACTGCGTAATGTAAATCTAAACCCTAAGTGGGCAAAATTCAGGTTGGTGCTAAAAGGACTGGCCATAATAAACAATTGCTTTTTAAGAAAATACTGTTCCCACCTTTTTTTTTATTTTCATCTCTTTTGCATCTCCGTCCTGCTGATCTTAAGATTTTTTTTGGACACTTCCTGTTTACATGAACTCATTCCAATATTGGTTTCATAATATTGCTCGGTAACAGCTTCCTGGTGGGGGTAATGATGGACCATAACTGCACAATGTGTGCCTGCAGAGCAACTTGTAATCTTCAACATGGACGCATGTGACAGGGTGCAGGAGGACAGTTGTCACTCCATAACTGGAAATGTCTAAACAAGGTCCTTTAAAGGAGAAGTATTGAGAGCATAAAATGTACTCTTCCCAATACTTAGCGCCGGCGTATGACACTGCAGCTGTCACATGTCGGCTCTATAGCTCGAGAACTAAACAATCACAAACCGCTGATTGCGCAGCTTACTGTCTTCTCCCTGCAGAGTGGTGACTGTCAGTCACCACCTACCGCAGGGATATTCTCCTCCCTTGTTTCTCCAGCACTTATTGGTGGGGCAGAAGGGAGGGGGCGGCCACAGCTGGCTCTAGAGAGGCAGAGCCAGCTGTCAATGGGATCTTTCCTGGCTGCAGCGTGGCTCTGTGCGGTCAGCAAATAGAGGGCAGTAGCCTGCTATGTGCTGACTTTGGGTCACAGGATTACATTAGTAAATGTGCTCCTGTGACCTAAAAGAGAAATTATCGTTTTATCGAAAAAGCTGCAGGTTTAGGGCCTGTTCACACCAGCAGACTTGCAGTGATGTGCACTATGCTGTGTAAAATGTAGACATGCTGCATTTCTCTGCAACACACACCACCAAACCCATATAGTATAAACAGGGTACATAGACAACAGCTGCTTTCTATGCTCCCTTGTGTTGAGCCGGCTCTGATCAATGCACCTAGTGTGAGCAAGCTGTTTAAAGTGACGCTAAACTCGATAGCTAAATCTTCAAAATACAAATGAGTACCTTCACTATTAACAAAATGTATCTTATTTGTGTATCACTCGGCTGTAGATCCTCCAATCATCTCTGAATTGGTGCTGACACAGTTCTTCCTTCTGGAGGGTGGCTACTTTTCTTACCCATGATCCCTGTGTGTGTTGTAAAGTAGTCACCGCTCCAAGCTCACTCCCGTGATGGACTTCAATCTCAATAGAAATTGATAAACTAAACGTGAGATTGTAGTCCATCACAGGAGTGAGCTTGGGGCCGTGGCTACTTTACAACACACACAGGGATCATGGGTAAGAAAAGTAGCCACCCTCCAGAAGGAAGGACAGTGTCTGCACCAATTCAGAGATTTGAGGATCTACAGCCGAGTGATACACAAATAAGATACATTTTTGTTAATAGTTGGGGAACTTGAATGTATTTTTAAGATTTATCTCCTGAATTTAGTGTCACTTTCAAATGGTATTGTAATACCAAAAAGTCTTTTGTGATTTTTAGTCCTTGGGTTTAGCTCTACTTTTAAACCAAATGGATCAAAGCTATTGTCCTGGGTAGCAGGATTTGATAGGTTTTCTACATCTGGGGACACTATTTTCAACAAGCCATTCAGGTATTGCTTGCACACATTTCTAAACTCCTTCACTATCAGGACAGATATTTAAAGGACCGCTAAACAGAAGGCTGCTTTTCTGAAATATACAAATTGTGCATGTTTTGTAGATGTAACCTTTTTTACACTTTAATTTCCCCTCCTTTTTAAGGGTGATCATCAACTACCTATCCAATTCAGATAATCCTGTTTTCATTACCCTTCCAAACCAGGATTGTTTCTTCATATTTAAAGGAGAACTATGAGGTGAGTGCTATTCACTCACCTCATAGTTCTAGCCGACCTGTGACAATGAAACTGTCACAGGTCGGCTCAGTAGATCTAGATAGGCAAGCCAGCTGTCACTCACCTGGGCGGATCCAGACATAATTGTCGGGATCCGCTTCAGCGGCGGCGTCTCAGTATACCTCGAGCTGTAGCTAGCGGTATACTGAGCTTAGGGTGACGGGAGGACGCTAGTTTGTGTCCTCCCATTACCCTAAGGAGAACTATGGGGAAAAGCCCTAACCCCATAGTTCTCTAATATTAAAATAAAATAATACTTTGCCTATCCTGAACAAAGTAACTGGTTCTGTTTACTGTAGAGACCCTTAAGGGAATTTTCTTACCGTGATTCTTTGCTACCTGCATCCCCATGAAGCAATGCTTGGGGGCAGCCCCCAGGTCTGTGCACATCATTTGGGAACAAAAGTGTGCAAAACATTAGTAGTGAGGGAGTAAAAGGTAAGTAAATACTCTAAAGCAGTGGTTCTCAACCTGTGTCACTTCAGGACCCACATTTGATCAGGATTCCACGTGTCACCTACTTTTATGTCTCAAAAGGTGTGAGATTTTTAACATACATTATACCAAAGCAGGTCAAATTCACCCCTGAAATGTACTACCTAACACGACTTGTCTTTTTGTCTGTGAAGGTTCTCATTCATCCAGCTCATGGTATATCTGTAAAAAAAAAAGTCAAGGCAACTGGACTTGCTGTATTTTTCCTTGAAGATGTTTCACTGGTCATCCAACCAGCTTTCTCAATTCAGAATAGAGAGCTGGTTGGATGACCAGTGAAACGTCTTCAAGAAAAGCACAGCAAGTCCAGTTGCCTTGACTTATTTTATTACAGATACAAGTTACCATGCTACATGATACTGAATTAAAACACCGAAGACAACAGTGAAATTGCGTAAACGGAAGAATCTTTTTTAAAACAGCCATG